ATGTGCGTCAATCTACAATTATGTGTGTACCCTATTTTAGTTCATGTCAATGGATGCTTGTGTTTGCTGTTTCTTCTACTCTTCTTGCTTTGCATCGATAATAAAACTTATCCTTTGATCAAAGTTCTTTTATAAACCATTCATGTTTCTCACTCGTCTTTTAGGTTAAAGAGACAAAAGTTGGAGTACCCAGAAGATGAGACTGGAAATGTAGCTTCCGTGACATTTTCAGGAGAAATCTCAGGTGATCATCTCTTTGTTCAGCCTTACTTTGATGTCTGTTTTTAAGTTTTATCATATTGAATTTTTAACTTGTTATTGCTTGCAGAAGCATCCTCAAGCAAGTTACCATGCGAACACCCAGGTACGTTTGGAAACATGTGCTTTGTTTGTGGCCAAAAAGTGGAAGTAACCGGTGTTTCATTTGCATACATACACAAGGTGTGCCAATCTATTAGATTCTCTTATAACTTGAAGTCTTGGTTATGATTTATGACCTTTGGGAAATCTGTTTTCTTAGGGTTTTAAGCTCCAACAAGATGAAGTCTCCCGGTTGCGTGATATGGATATGAAAGGCTTGCAAAGCCAGCGGAAGTTATGTTTAGTTCTTGATTTAGACCACACTTTACTTAATTCAACTGTACTTAGGGACCTGAGACCAGAGGAGGAATACTTGAAAAGCCATACACATTCTCTTCAAGGTGATACATTCTGCTTCATTGTTTTGATGTCAGCAAATAATATCTCCGTACTTCAATGCTATGTTTTATATACAGTTCTATGAAGTTTGATTTTTTTTTTTTTGTTGACTTCAGATGTTTCTGGTGGCGATATCTTCATGCTTGAATTCATGCATATGATGACCAAACTAAGGCCGTTTGTTCATTCGTTTCTTAAAGAAGCCAGCAAGATGTTTGTAATGTATATATACACAATGGGAGATAGACCATATGCACGGCAGATGGCGAAGCTGCTGGACCCCACAGGAGAGTATTTTGGTGAACGAATCATTTCTCGAGATGATGGCACAGTGAAACATCAGAAAAGTTTAGATGTGGTGCTGGGACAAGAGAAAGCTGTTCTGATTCTTGATGATACAGAGAATGTAAGTTTTTGGTCTGCTTTGTCAATATTTCATGTCATTTGAAATCAGGATATTATTTTCTTAGACTAGATGTGCTGATACTTGGTTTGATACGCAGGCATGGCCGGGTCACAAGGACAATCTGATCGTGATAGAGAGGTATCACTTTTTTGCTTCAAGCTGCAAACAGTTCGACCATAGATTCCAGTCTCTCTCGCAGCTGAAGAGCGATGAGAGTGAACCTGATGGGGTACTTTCCGCTGTTCTTAGAGTCCTTAAGCAAACGCATAGTCTATTCTTTCAGGTATACTCAGTAATATATAAAGTGAACTTTTCCCTGGTCTGGACTGTTTTTTTGATCATTGGTAGCTTTTTAGGAAGGAGGAGAAGACTTATCGAGCAGAGACGTGAGGTCATTACTGAAGCAAGTGCGTAAAGAAATCCTTAAAGGATGTAAAGTAGTGTTCAGTCGAGTGTTCCCGACCAAGTGTCAGGCCGAGGATCACCCACTGTGGAGGGTGGCTGAGGGGTTGGGAGCCACCTGTGCAACGGAAGTGGATGCATCAGTAACACACGTGGTGGCTGTGGATGTGGGAACAGAGAAGGTGCGTTGGGCGATAAGAGAGAAGAAGTTCGTGGTGCATAGAGGGTGGATAGATGCAGCTAATTACCTGTGGAAGAAGCAGCCAGAAGAGAACTTCGGGTTGGAGCAGCTCAAGAAGCAAGGAACTGATGATGTAACAGTTGAAAAGTAGACTTGAGGAGGAAGAAACAGATAACTTATGTTAATTGGATTTTGATTATGTCGAGACTCAGAAACAAAGCAAAGTTATGAACAACAAGAGATTCTGGACTGACTTGTCTTGGTTCTTTGTGTATATACGAATTTTGGTTCTGTTGGTTTTTCATTGCTTCTTCTGGGTGGGGACACCAATGAGTGTCTAGTTACCGACTAGTATGTTGGGTCGAAAAGGGCCGTCTTTTTATGAATTAGCGTGCCACGTCATTTTATTAGTATTTATTGTTTTTTTTCTTTATTCTCTTTTTGAGTGTTGGACTGGCTTTTGCGTCTCTTTCACATAAAGATGGTGCTCGAAGCTTATGCGTCATCGAACCCTAACCAGGTTCACGAAGATGTTTTTTTCAAATTCTAGAGAAGGTTGTTACAAGGTCCAGTCCAGAGGCTGTTGGATGATGGAGACGAGAGGAAAGGTCCAAGTCCAATGTCACACCCTCAGCCTTACACTTTCAAGCCTTCCCTTCCCTCTTAGAATCCTCCGTTTCCTGGTACCTCCTCCTTCTTACCACACTCGAACATCTTCTTTTACTCTCTTCCTTAGTGTTTTTTGTTCTCACAATTGTGTTGAATGATCAAGCTTTACCCTTGTCTTTGAGTAGATCATATTAAATATTCCCTCACTAGAGTTGTTTTTTGTTTTGTCTATGTCAGAACTGTAGGAATTGTCTTTTGAGGAAGATAACAATATCCATTACACTCACCGATTTATTCCTTAGACAAACTACTGTTCCTGAAACAAGAGTTATTTGCTTTTGCATGTAGTAGTTGGACTTGTTTATAGCTTCCCTACAAGCCTAGTCTTTATTTGAGTTCAGGAACTTGTTTTTTTTTTTTTTGCCATTGTGTATCTGCCCATAACATTTGGTGAACAGTCTGCAAGGCTTTAGGGTCTGACTGGTTGAAACGCGGCGGTTGCGATTCCGGTTGCGGGAGTTTGCGGATGTGGGTGGTTGCGGTTTCTAGCGTTATTAGGCAATTTGTACGACTGGTACATCGATTAAAAACTGGTGCGTTTGTGGGACATTTATGACTGGTTGATTATGAGATACTACAGCGGTTCAATAATAAATTTCCAATATTAACATATCTATACTATTAAAAGAGAAGGAGTCCAAATAAATCTACTTAAAAAGGTTGTTTGGACCCTTTCTTTTTTTTTAAATTATTTTTGATCTTCCCCTATATAATATAACATAACAACACGGCAATGTGTTATCTAATATATTTACCCGGTTAAGCCAATGTCTTTTCCCATGTACTTATCCGGTTTTAATTATTACAAGCATTTCAATCAGTTACTAAACCAATGGAATAATTACCGAACCCAATTAAATTCAGACCCAATTTTAATTATTTTTAAAAAACTATATTTTGAATACAAATTTATATATTAATTCAGATAAATACAAAATTGATTATATTTTATAGTATACACTTTTAAAATTTATCTCAAACTGATTCAGATATGCGTTTATTAATATAGATACTGTTAATATATTTTTTTAAAAATTATTGATAAGTAGTTCTCTATTTCGTATGGATTCTATTAAAAAAATAATTATGATACTGATATGATTTTTAAATGCTTATCATATTTTAGGTACAAAAATTCTTCTTATGCAAGTAAAATAGATATGATATATCAAAAACTCTAAAAAGCATAAATAAATTTATATTTATTTCAGTAAATCATTAACACTCTGATTGATTTTAAAGTATGTTTACATATTCGTTTTATTATATTCTACCCTTACTATATACGAGTAAATGTATATATCGGTTCGACCACAACTCTGACTTGGATATGAAAATTCAGTGAAAACATTCTACCGCACTGAAACAATAATAATAGAAAAACTTTCAAATTAATTTAATCATATATATGTACTATCAACAAAAAAATATCCGCGCTTTTTAAGCGCGGGTCAAAATCTAGTTATAACATTATAAAAATATCAAAACATACTGTTATGATAAAAAATAATAACTATTAATATATTATATGTAATAACAATATTATTTTTATTATTTTTTATTTAGATGAAAATATAATTTCTATAATTAATAAAATATTATAATATAATATAATATAATTAATTATATAATTATGTATTTATATATTTATATATTTATATTTATATATTTATATATGTATATATTTATATATTTATATATTTATATATGTATATATTTATATATTTATATATTTATATATTTATATATTTATATATTTATATATTTATATATTTATATATTTATATATTTATATATTTATATATTTATATATTTATATATTTATATATTTATATATTTATATATTTATATATTTATATATTTATATATTTATATATTTATATATTTATATATTTATATATTTATATAT